CAGATGCTTCGCTTTTGTCTTCTTCAGACTTTTGAAATACTTACATTTCTTCGAATACCTTCGAGCTTTCGGTTTTCCAAGATTGTTTTAATGTTTATTTTTGACACACTGACGATTTTTGGAATGCGTCGATGTCTTCGATTCCGGATCTTTCGATTTAATCCATTTCTTCATATTAATTGCACACTTGGGGTTCTTCAACTAAAGCCTACTCGTTCCCGTACAGTTGAAGCACCCATCGCGGGCGTCCCCAGGTGGCGAATAGGGGGACGGTCACACAGACTCGTGGTTCGGGGTGGGTAGTGACGTTGGTAAGTGGTTCATCGAGGCTGGTAACGACAAAGGCCATCTCCGAAGATAACGGAGCCGCTCTGGTACCGTTCGACCTCCGAGTTCGGGAAAGGGCTGGCAGCCAGCTTGGCCATGTTTGATATTAGGCCCGGCGTCTTGGGCAATGGACTCGTCAGCGATTTTAAAGAGCACCTCAGTGACTACCCTCCCTTTTCCCTTACTCACCTTCAGGGGAAGTCCCCTAACGAGTCTTGAACAATGTTCGAATTAGGACGACCTGTCCTGAATGTCTGCCAAGCACGCTAGTTGCTAGTCTCCGGTTTGGATGTCCTTCTTCTGGTAACTTTTTAATACCTAAAACCGCCACCCATCTCTTTCGCGCTGACGTGTTGTCGCAGTTGCCTAATGACTTTCACACATAACATATGCTTTGGCAAAGAACATTTTATTTGAATTTAGCGAATCTCAAAATCTAGCAAGGCCAGGAGAACATAATAGTGGATGCTCCGTTATACAATTACACTTCGAAGGGTGTGATTAAACATATATTTCCCCTCCTATCCTTTAACATAATTATATCATTGTAACTACTATGTAATACTAAAAAGATATTGTAATTAAACCTTAAACTTTCTGTACTCCTGATACTTTTTTAAAATGACCATCAGGAACACATAATAGTGATTATTGTCGTCTAGTAATCAACGCAACAAACGGTTTCGGACCGGGGGTCAATCCATCGATGATTTCCTCGGTCGGAGGCTGATATGGCGCAATGGAAAACTTGAATTGTTGCAGAAGGCCGGCGACGAACAAGAAAACGTTCGCCTTCGCCAAAGCCTCCCCCAAACATCTACGTTTACCCAAACCAAAAGGGATGTAGTTCTCCGGGATCTGGACTCGACCATCCTTAATGAAGCGCTCGGGTTGGAAGGCTTCCTTGTCTGGCCAACTCTCGTCCATTACGACACCTCGTAGATTTCCAATGATAACTGTGTCCTAAAAGACGATCTTTTGAACGGTTTTGGGCCACATTCGGGCTACCTTCGGTATGAAGTATCCGTTTAGGTGGGTGTCTTTTAGGGCTCTGTGTGGCACGCAATGCGCTAGGCCAGCTAACACACGCATCGACTCCAAAGCCACGGATTCCACGTACTTTAAGCTGAAACGTGCCATTATTGACCGTTGAGATTAAACGTAGTGCTTACCGGGGCCGATCCTCTATGGTTGGAAGTCGGTGTGGGCCGACGACCGCGTCAATTTCCTCCTGGGCTTTTGCTTGGATGTCGGGTTTGAGGGTGAGATAGAGAAAAGCAAAGGCTAGAGTCTTGGCACACGTTTCAGTTCCGGCCATAAAGATATCTAGGCAGACAGCCAACAGTTGGTCCTCGGAAAAACTGGTTTTGGTCTCTGAGGATATTAGTCTGTCCAAGTAGGCATCTATGAAACTACGGTGATCTGACGGAACGAAACCCTTCTTGCACTCTTCTACTTCCCCACGAAGGAACTCCAAGGTCTGCCGATGGACGTTAACAAAGGTACTGTATCCGGAGTACCCAGGGCAGATATATCGTAAAATTGGGAAATGGCTGAATAGTGCACCATCCATGTGGACGTTATATATTAGATCTCTTATTAAATCCTGCAGGTGCTTTAATTGATTATCATATGGACTATGTTTTCTAGCGCTCATCATAGTCCATAGGGTATTTAGTATGTAAATACCAAAGATGTTGTCCATTCGCAGAACACATTTCCCTCCACAGTCATCGACCTTCTTTCCAATGTCGTTGATCATCGCTTGACATTCTCCTTCAATCATGTCCGACATGTTCTTCTTTCCCATTCCAAATTCCTTCAGATGTTTCACGACGAACGACCTCTGCTCCTCCCAGGACTCACCGTCAGTAAAGAGAACACCCCTCCTCTTACCCCAGGTCCGACTTGTATAAAAAACGCCGATGGGCCTACCATTAAACTCCTCCCTGGACGAAAACTCCCGGTACTCCTTGTGCCCGTAGATGAATACTACGCGATCGACGCCAATTCGCGCCCCAACCACCGGCCCGTACTTCGCCGCGAGCAGCTCGGTCGCCTTTGACATGAAACCGGTCTTCTGGCGTAACCGGTTCAGTTCCAGACCGCAACCGATAATTGGTAGCCATGCCGGACCCGGAGGAAAATTTTTCGGTTTCCTCGAATTTAGGTACAGCAGGAAGATGATCACAATTAGAAGTAGAAACCACATTTTGAAGATATTGAGAAAAAAATTTCATGCTACATCCTTGCAGCTTTCCGGGTAGATAAGATAAGGTGTTTACTTTTAGTTTTTAATTCCGTGATTATTACTAAATTAATCTACGACGGTGTCATTATAACAGATGTGATTACGGCTTAAATACATAGAAACACACCAATTATAGTTAGTAATCAAGTTGTCAAGGGATTTATTTCTGTTAACGCCTAAATTAAAATTATAGTTCAACAAGTATTAATTGTGCACGACTTTTTTTTAAACCGAAATAGCTTAATAAATGGTTGGGCAATAAGGTAGCACCATGCAGCGATGTTTACCTTTTTGGTAGATGATTAATGGGGATGAGGCTCTTTAACCGCCTTTAACCTCCTCCGACACTCCATTCTGCAGATATTTGCGCTAAAAGCTTTTACATCGCCAATAGGTATGTCTCGTCCTGACGTTCCATTTGCCTTTGTTGAGTACCCTCTTTGTTGTCAAGGTATTTGCGTCGACTTCACCAATAGATATGTCTCGTCCAGTCGATTCATTTTGCCTTTGAGAGTACTTTCTTTCGTCAAACCGTTTTCATTACGAATGGATATATTTTTTCTAGACGTCTCAATCGCCCTTTGCGAGTACCCTCTTTCGACAATCCGTTCTAGGGATATAAGGGAATACATCGGATCACGATAAGGAATCGAGGAGGAGGTTGGTAGAAATTATTTCCTTTCATTGAGACCTTTCATTAGGAAGGATAAAACCAGTTCCACCCCTCTCTCTTTTGATAAGGGGTCAGAAAGAAGGGCGATAGTCGGTAGAAAACGGCTCCTTTCGTTGAGACCTTTTATTAGAATACCATGAAAGATAAAACTAATTTATACCCCCCCATGAAGGGTAGAACGTGTGTTTTACGAATGATTTTGATGAAATTTTGTACCACTGTTCTCTCTAATGGTCCTGAAAGTTGGAAATGCTCTTCTGGCTATAGAACATATATTTATTAAATAAGGTATGAGCAATAAAATTTTGATTGAGAGCAGTCCGTGGAAATTTCAGGTCACGTTTAATAATCTTCAGATCGGTCCCCGGGTGTCTTTTACACACTCAGCCATAGGTAACATCGCGATTGCTTATGACGTTCGAATGGAGTCAAAATGGAGTCAAAAAGTGCAGAGGTCTCTTTGATATGGATTTCTATTTCCTTCTGTTTCAACTGTATCAAAGGCAAATCAGCATATTGCATGTTTTTAGCGCATTTCCACAAAAATAAAAAAAAATGCGCTATTGTGACCACTTTGTCCGTCCGTCCGTCCGTCCGTCCGCTAACTTTGCGACGCTACTAGTTTTTATCTTAAGAGCTATTGTTCTACTTTTTTCGCTATTTGGTTCGTTATGGTGTCGAGTCTTGTACCAAGGAAGGAATTTTTTCTGTACCGCTTACAAAAAAAGTTATTGTAAAAAAACAAAAAACCGTTTTTTACATGTTCCATAATTTTACACTTTTGCCGTTTATTAACGATCCTAGAGATCGTTTATAATTTTGCATTGCTATCTGTCGCCTGCCGGTTGGTCTCTCCGTCTGTTCCTTTGTCTGTCTGTCCATCTATCTGTCCGTGTGAACGATAACTTTGTTTAGAAATGTTCGATCGCTTTTACATCTCCGTTAGTTATGAACTGAATTGCATGAAATTCAATATGGGCATAGATTTAGCCATATAATACGCAATGCCAAAAGTTGGATCGAATCGATTCAAAATTCACAGTGCCCTTTTCGCATCTCGACCATTTATAAACCGAATTGCAAACTTTTTTACTTATAAAAGTATTTGAATGAAATTTGATACATAGGCACTTGGATAAAGGAAAATCAAACGCCAATTTCAAAATTTGGTTTTGCGCATGCGCAGTGCCAACTTTTTTATTTATGGAAGAATTTAAACGAAATTTGATACATAGGCACTTGGGATAAAGGAAAATCAAACGCCAATTTCAAAATTTTATTTTGCGCATGCGCCGTGCCAACTTTTTTATCTATGGAACTATTTAAGTGAAATTTGATACTTAGGCGCTTGGAACAAAGGAAAATCTTAGTTTATTAGTTAGTTATAGTAAATTAGTTTTAAAATTTAGGTTTGCGCATGCGCAGTTCCAACTTTCTTATTTAGAAAAGCATTGAAATGAAATTCTTCTCATAAACTGAAATTGAAGTAGCACGTCAACAATGGATTGCCCATGTGCAACGCTATCTTTCATATTTGTGGCCGGATTTTTACGATTTTAACAGAAGTTGCATCTTACAAATGGGAAATGAATGCAAGTGGAAATGCGCTTTATGTAAATCGTTTACGATTACTTTTTAACTTGTTTTCGGAATAATCCCAGTGTTGAAAATTATAAGTAAACACCTTATCTTATCTTTTCGGATGCTCGCTCCTCGTGTTGCAACGGATTCAGTATCAATATTTTCAAAATGTGGTTTATACTTCTATTAGTAAACATAATCTGTCTGCTGTACCTAAATTCGAGGAAACCGAAAAACTTTCCTCCGGGTCCGGCATGGCTACCGATTATCGGTTGTGGACTGGAACTGAACCGGTTGCGCCAGAAGACCGGTTCCATGTCGAAGGCGTCCGGGATGCTCGCTGAACGGTACGGGCCGGTGGTTGGAGCGCGGATTGGTGTCGATCGCGTAGTCTTCGTTTGTGGAGCCAAGGAGTACCGGGAGTTCTCGTTCAGGGAAGAGTTTAATGGTAGACCTAGAGGAGTTTTTTATACAAGTCGCACCTGGGGAAAGAGGAGGAGGGTCCTATTTACTGACGGTGAGTTCTGGGAGGAGCAGAGGGCGTTTATCATGAAACATCTGAGGGAATTTGGAATGGGTAAGAGGACCATGTCTGACATTATTGAAGGGGAATGCCAAGCGATGGTGAGCGACATTGGAAGAAAGATTGACGACTGTAAAGGGGAATGTGTTCTGCGGATGGACAACATGTTTGGTGTTTACGTACTAAACACGCTATGGACCATGATGAGCGCTAAAAAACATAGTCCAGATGATATGAAAGTAATACACCTGCAGAATGTAATAACAGATCTAATATCCAACATCCACATGGATGGAGCACTATTCAGCCATTTCCCAATTTTACGATATATCTGCCCTGGGTTTTCCGGTTTCAACAGCTTTGTTAACGTCCATCGGCAGACCTTGGAGTTTCTTCGTGGAGAAATAGAAGAGTGCAAGGAAGGTTTCGATTCGGCAGATCATCGTAGTCTCACAGATGCCTACTTGGACACCCTACAATCCCCAGGTACCAAAACCAGCTTCTCCGAGGAGCAACTGTTGGCCATCAGCTTAGACCTCTTTATTGCCGGGACTGAAACATCAGCCAAATCCCTGGCTTTTGCTTTTCTCTACCTCATCCTCAACCCCGACATCCAAGCAAAAGCCCAAGAAGAAATTGACGCAGTAATCGGACGACACCGACTGCCAACTATGAAGGATCGGCCACGGTAAGTAACACGCTTAACATTAAAAGTCCACAAAGACCATTTTCAGCTTAAAGTACGCAGAATGCGTGGTTTTGGAGTCGATACGGAAGTTTGCTGGCCAAGTGCTTTCGATACCACGCAACCCTAGAGGACACGCACCTCAACGGATACTTCATACCGAAGGTAGTCCGAATGTGGCCCAAAATCGTTCAAAAGATCGTCTTTTAGGACACAATTATCATTGGAAGTCTACGAGGCGCCGTAATGGACGAGAGCTGGACAAACCCGGAAGCCTTCCAGCCCGAGCGCTTCATTAAGAATGGTCGAGTCCAAATCCCGGAGAACTATATATATATATATATATATATAGATGTTTGGGGGAGGCTTTGGCGAAGGCGAACGTTTTCTTGTTCGTGACGGCCCTCCTGCAGCAATTCAATTTTTCCATTGCGCCGGATAAGCCCCCTACGGAGGAAATCGTCGATGGATTGGCCCCTGTCCCAAAACCGTTTGTCGCGTTGATTACTAGGCGTTAATGCCCAGTACTCAGCACATTAAGTTGTTATGTGTTCCTGATGCTCATTTTCAAAAAGTACCAGGAACCCCATATATCTTTTTTAGTATCACATAGTAGTTTCAGTTATATTCTGTTACAGAACAGAGTGCTATTTACAGTGTAATTTTGGTATGGAGCGTCCACATATTATATTCTCTTGATCTTACTAGATCTTTAGGGGCGCTAAGTACAAACAAAACGTTTTTGGTCAAAGTATATGTTATGCATTCCTGATACGTACTGAAAAGTAGTACCATTAACCGTTCTCAGCAGCACAGGACCACAACAAACTTCCTTACTCCTTCTAATGTATCACCAAACATGTTTAACGTAGAAGGAAAGAGAAAATGTAAGTTTTCTAATGACGTATCACATGACCAATGTGGCCTGTGGCCGACTGATACCCGGTGAAACGCGAGTTAGTGCAATTATTTTATTTTACTTTACCATGCCCTCCTGGTATTAATTTCGATTTTTAACTTAGTCGATTCATTTCTGCTGAAGCACAATTTTTTATGGACATACACGTTCTAACCAGTGTTATCATGATCTCCTCATACAAATTTTTATTTTAGAACCATTATACTAGTACCACCGAAACACAAGAAGGCGTAAATTTCATCGACAAAGGTTTCCTCTTGACACATATTAGACTTTAAAAATGATCACATCAGGATCACAGAAAAAAAATTTCTATGGCAAACGCATCTTTATCTATTATGTTCTCCCGGTATCCATTTCTCCTTAAAAATTATAGACCCAGTATCGCTGAAACACGAGAATTTGTCTTTGAAAAATCGTCAAACCTGGACCACAATGTGTAGGCTCCCCCCATGTATGTTCTCCTGACAACTTAGCTTCTAAAATTCATGGGATCAAGATCACGAGATGAAAGGATGGTGTAGAATTTATTGACTCTACTTATTATGTTATCCGGATTAAAAATCCCGTTGAGACTGAACGGCTGAAGAACAAAGAGGTAAAAGTTTCACTACGTATCACTTCCCCATCAGTTGTGCTCTTCTAATACATATTTCACTTGAAAAATCCCTGACACCCCCGCTTAAGGAAACGTTGAATCAGGATGACAGAAGCACCAGAAGGTGCAAATTTCATCTATTATGTTTTCCTGCCACAATTTTATCTTCTAAGTGTCACTAGATCGGGATAACAGAACAACAAGAAGGTATACATTTAATTAAAAAACACATTCTCGTCTATTATGTCATCCTGGTACATATTAATTTATTATTTCCCCCCAGAACGGTTTTTTCGTTAGAAATTCGCTTTGTTTTATTGTTTTCTTCAGAATCTTCACATTCCTCATACTTATTTTTCAAACATTGAAGATTTTTGGGATCCTCCCATTTCGTGAAATAATTCTATTCCAATTTTCCCGCCCCTTCCGCATTTTTGTACTTCCTTTGGTCAATCAATTTGTTCTTATCTGCTGCTGCTTTTGTAGGCTGTAGGACAATATACCACCAAAATGTAAACTCACAATCAGAGAGATTTGGCATGAGCCATTTTATTTTCTTTTTCTTACAATACAATTGAGCGTTCCCCCTGTTGGTATCGCGGAAACAAAATCAGACAGGTACAATTATGCGTTTTTTAGCGCATTTTTGCATATTTATTTTGGTCGGATGGCCGGCCGGCTGGTAGCAAATGCGGGAACGCTTGTAGAAAGACAAGGAGTGCACATGTACCTACCGAGGCATTTAGACCTTCTTGTACTTCAGCAACCCTGAATCTAAAATTAGAGACACGTGTATTATTAGGAGAAGAGAAGTGAGGAACACATGAGAGATAACTTGCTTTAGAGGGGAACGAAGCGTTTACCAATCTACACCTTCTTTTGCTGCTGCGATTTTAGATACAAAAATATTGAATGATCAGGAGAACGCAATAAACGAGAGAGGAGTTTCAAAACAAATTTGTAAGTTCTTGGGGTTCTGTAATCCTGATTCAACTTCTAGAAGGGAAATTTGAATCAGGAGATAGATAAAAAAGCGTTTGTTCATGAAATTTAAAGTGGTTCATTCTGTGACCCTGATGCGATCATTTTTAAAGGCTAAATTGTGTCAATAGGACAGGAAACTCCTGTCAATGAAATTTGCGCCTTGTCGTTCTTCGGTGGTATTCGCTTAAGGGTTTCCAAAATAGAAATGGGATATCATGTGCCTCATTCTCATCAGTAGTGAATCTACTAGAAGCAGAAATTAGTAACAGGAGGACATAATAAAGAAGAAAGCGGATATTGAAGAAATTGAGCGGTTCTGGGAAAAGGACACGAAGCTTTTGTTAATAAAGTTTTCATGCTCCATTGATTTGAATGTTCTTAAGAAGGAAATTAGTACAAGGAAAACATAAAAGATGTGGAAGTCCTAAATGTATGCCTTGACCCTGATCCTCCGAGCTGTAAAAGATAAATTCGTTCTAGGAGAAGATAACAAATGACGAAGTGTTTTTCTGTGATCCTAATCCAATGATAATTGTATCAGAAGAAGATGAGGAAGCGGTTTTCCATGTAATTTGGATTGTGTGACCATACCGCTTTTCTTCCTACAAGACATTTGTACCAGGAGTACATAATAACATTTACCAACGAAATTGACGATCACGATTCTCAAATTTTAGAACAGAGGTATTGGCCAAAGCAATTTACACTTCCTTGTGCTTCTGTAGTTCTAATCCAATGACACTAGATGGTTGGCGGGAGACAAGGATAAATCAAGAAGCATTTTTCGTCAAGTATTTGTGCTAATGCGATCTTAATTCAACGATTTTAGAAGGTAAACTGTATCTGGGAAATACGTATATCAGGAGGTAAGGAAGTGGTTGACAATTAAATCTACGCCCTGTATTGCTGGGAATAAGTATCAGGGATACATTACATATACATGGGAAAGAAAACACTTTATTTGCCTTTAGCGGACTTAATGTTTACGAGCAGGATCAGGAGAATATAATAAGTGGATGCTCTGTTCCACAATTATCCTGTAAATAATAAAATTGATCTGTAACTTACAATTATTACTACTATGTGATACTAAAGAGATATTTGGGCTGTAATAAAGCTCAAACTTTCTATGCTCCTGGTACTTTCTAGAAATGGGCATCAGGAGCACGGGGCATTATCGCCTAGTAATCAACGCGACAAAAGGTTTGGGAGCAGGAACTAATCCATCGACGATTTCCTCCGTAGGGGGCTTACCCGGCGCAATGGAAAAGTTAAATTGTTGCAGAAGGCCCGCGACGAACAAGAAAACGTTAGCCTTCGCCAAAGCCTCCCCCAAACATCTACGTTTGCCCAAACCAAAGGGGATGTAGTTCTCTGGGATTTGGACTCGACCATCCTTAATGAAGCGCTCGGGTTGGAAGGCCTCCGGGTTTGTCCAACCAGAAGCCTCGTCCATCACGACACTTCGCAGACTTCCAATGATACTTGTGTCCTAAAAGACGATCTTGTAAACGGTTTTGGGTCAGTTTTGGGCTACCTTCGGTATGAAGTATCCATTGAGGTGCGTGTCTTTTAGGGTTCTGTGTGGTATGGAAAGCACTAGGCCAGCAAACATCCGTATCGACTCCAAAACCACAGATTCTACGTACTTTAACCTAAAAATTCCCCATATGGATCTATGAGATTAAGCGTGGTGCTTACCGTGACCGATCCTCCATGGTTGGCAGTCGGTGGCGTCCAACGACTGCGTCTATTTCTTCTTGGGCTTTTGATTGGATGTCGGGGTTGAGGGTGAGGTAGAGGAAAGCAAAAGCCAAGGATTTGGAAGATGTTTCAGTTCCGGCAATAAAGAGATCTAAGCTGATGGCCAACAGTTGGTCCTCGGAAAAGCTGGTTTTGCTACCTGGAGATCTTAATCTGTCCAAATAGGCATCTATGAAGCTACGGTGATCTGATGAATCGAAACTTTTCTTGCACTCTTCTACTTCGCCACGAACGAATTCCAAGGTCTGCTGATGGATGTTAACAAAGCTGCTGTATCCGGAGTACTGAGGGCAGATATATCGTAAGATTGGGAAATGACTGAATAGTGCACCATCCATGTGGATGTTGGATATTAGATCTGCCATTAAATGCTGCAGCTGTTTTAGTTGCGCGTCATCTGGACTATGTTTTCTAGAGCTCATCATGGTCCATAGCGTGTTTAGTACGTAAACACCAAACATGTTGTCCACCCTCAAAACACATTCCCCTCCACCGTCGTCAATCTTTTTTCCAATGTCGTTGAGCATCGCTCGACATTCCCCTTCAATCATGTCGCACATGCTCTTCTTTCCCATTCCAAATTCCTTCAGATGCTTCATGATAAACGCCCTCTGCTCCTCCCAGGACTCACCGTCAGTAAATAGAACCCCTCTCCTCTTGCCCCAGGTCCGGCTCGTATAAAAAATGCCGCTAGGCCTTCCATTAAACTCCTCCCTGGCCGAGAACTCTCGATACTCCTTCGGTCCACAGACGAAGATTACGCGATCAACACCAACCCGCGCTCCAACCACCGGCCCATACTGCGCCGCGAGCAATCCGGACGCCTTCGACATGGAACCGGTCTTCTGGCGCAACCGGTTCAGTTCCAGACCACAACCGATAATTGGCAGCCATGCCGGACCGGGAGGAAAGTTTCTCGGTTTCCTCGAATTTAAGTACAGCAGACCGATGATCACAATTAGAAGTATAAACCACATTTTAAATATATTGAGCAAAAATCGATGCGGCACCAGGGGCGACCTTCCGGGTAGATAAGATAAGATTTTGAACTGCGTAATTATTACGAAATTTAACACGCAATTGTCTGATATTGACTTTGCCGTCATTATTTTGACTCCAATGTATGTTATCTATGGCGGAGTGTGCAACTGACAGCTGGCGATCGATCTGGAAACCAAGACTTAAGATGATACAAAGCGGGAAGGTATAGTAAAAGACAGGCTAACGGTTTAGACGTCCCTTTTATTTCAAACGTGTGTGTATATTTGAAGTTTCTCAATGGACGAGAATTGGGATCATACTCGCACGCCTCCCAAATGCCTGTAGTTTTCAGCAGCAAAGCCTCAATCGTATCGCGACGCGAGCCTTACCCTAAACGGTCTGGGCGAAATGGTCACGCCGTCGCAGCCGTCAGTCACAACTTCGGTCGTATCCGGGTCCTTATGCAAGAAAAAGTTGTGCAACATCGCCGTGAAGAAGAGGAAATAGTTCGTCTTCGCCAGCGATTCTCCCAGGCATCGTCTTTTACCTGAAACCCAACGCTTGGTAGGCGATTAAGGCGAGTCGGAACAGACCATAACCAAATGGGAGGAAAGACCATTCGGGGCAGGTGACTTTTCCGTCTCTTAGAAATCGGTCCGGTCGAAATTCTTTGGGATCCTTCCAGAAGGCGTCATCCATGTGTATGCTGTAGAGGCTCGTCAGTACTATTGCTCCTTCGGGAACGGTATACCCGAACAGGTTCGTAGTGCGGGTCGCTCGATGCGCAACTCCAAGTGGAGGCACGTTGGCCAAACGTTGCGTCTCCATTAAAACCGCTTCGGTGTATGGTAGGCTGAAAGCACACAGAAGCATAGAATGCGAACAACTTGAGGATCGAAGTTCAATTGTAGAATTTTAAAGAATCCAAAGAGTAGCCTCAGAAGAACCAATAGATTGAAGAAGAAGAAATACCTACTTTATTTTATCGTTCATTGTAGGCCAGCGATTCCTCCCAACAACCTCGTCCATTTCCTCCTGGACTCGCTTCTGAACCCCTGGATACTTTACCATGTACAGAACGGCAAAACCCAGAGTATTGCTGGTCGTCTCCGAGCCCGCCATGAACAAATCCAGGCAAAGTGAGAGCAGTTGCTCGTCTGAAACGCGAAAGTGTTACCTCGCCCAGAAAAAAAAACTGGAGGCGTACCGGTAAACCCCGAATCGGAATCGGAAGTGATCTGCATCTCCCGCAGGAACGCGTCGATGAGATCGCGCGAGTGCGACGAGCAGGCGGTCTTGCGATGCTCGGCGATGGTCTCCTGAAATCGGAGCGGATGAAAACCGGGCGACGACGCCCGACGGGCTCACCTCGAGAAACAGCCACATTCGCTTCAGGATCTCCACGGTCTTGGTGTAGCCGCAGCAGCCGGGCGCCAGAAACCTCAGCACGGGTAACTGGTTCAGCAATCCGCCGGACATGTCGAACAGTCGAAAGGCGTCGTGGACGATCTGGAGCAGCTTGATCAGTCTGACGTCGTCCAAGGTGAATCTTTCGCCGGCCATCATTGTCCATAGCACGTTCAGCACGCCGACGTCGAATGCGTTGTGCATGAAGACCAAGTCGGACGACTTCTTCCTCAGGTCTTCAATTAGATCTCTCGTCTCCTCGGCGATTTTCGCTTCCATTTCACGCTTACCGAAACCGAAATTTTTCAGATGTTGCAAGGAGAACTTCCGCTGACGTTGCCATAGTTTACCGTCGGAAAATACGATACCTAACGGAGGAAAGCTTAACTTCAGCTACTGGTAACTGGTTGATTGGGATGTTATACTAAGGAGGTGACCGACAGAATGGAATGGAGGCAAACTTCCACTATAGTTTGGCTTTGGTTGATCTGCTAGCTAAAACGTAAAGGTTTAGGCCCCAAAGTTGGTCGTACAACTCAATTTTTTTGAATGAACGATCATCTATAGAGAGTAATTTTTATCTGTTTCAGAATCTCGTAACCGGAGAAACGCAGTGGGGCAAAATGGGCCCTATTTTACTCGAGCTTAACGACTAAGTGACCTACTTGACCCAAAAAAGTTCAAAATATTGTTCCTTCCTTCCTTGAATCATCAAAGGTGTAGCGATTCGCATTTCTTGAGGCGAAGCAATTTTGAATTGTTTTAATCGCAAGACCATACATCTCTTGTATCAGGAGCGCATAAAGCGCGAGGAGGTATCTGTTAGAAAAATGTAACTACCAGGAAAACATAATCGATGAAGAGGTCAGGAGAATGCATCGTGGGAGGAGGCGCTTCTGCTTCCATTTCGGGAAGTTTCTGCTAGAGAAATGCGTAATACGTGAGGAGGTTTTTTACTATGCTCAATACAAATGCGATCTCATTACCAGTGGTTGTGTTTTTTTTAAATCCTCCCTGACCACCAGAAACACATAATCAATGAAGATCTTTTTGTATTCAAGAGAAATCTTTCGCCATTTTATTCAGGGCCCAAAAATTTGTCTAATTATCGAATTTCCTTTAATAAACAACGAAATTATGTACAGGGTGTCTCATTTATGACACTTTTTACTTTTCTCCCTGGTGTGGTTTTCAGTGAATATATGCCGAACTCGCTTCGACTCGCTATGTATTGGTAAAAATGACGCTACTGAGACTAAAACTGTAAAAGTCTCTTAATCTACCTCTAATTTCCTACACAACACGCCCAGTGCCTTTATCCCTGGTGTGAATTTCAGTGAATTTATGCCGAACTCACCTTCGACTCGCTCGGAATTCGTAAACGTAAAGTAATTGAGATTAAAGTTTTAAAAGTCTCTTGATCCACATTTAATTCCGTACACAACACGCTCAATTCCTTAATCACTGGTGTAAATTTCAGTGATTTTATGTCGAACTCGTGTTCAGCTCGCTCTGCGTTGATGCACCTAACGCTAGGTACTGAGATTTCTATTTTAAAAATCTGTTGATCTACTTTTAATTTCCTACAGACAACGCTCAGTACCTGTCGCTTTGATGTAAATTTTAGTGAATTTATTGTGAATTTATGCCGAACTCGCCTTCAGCTCGCTCTGCGTTGATGCACCTAACGCTACAAAGATTTCTACTTTAAAAATCTTTTGATTTACTTTTAATTTCCTACAGGTAACGCTTAGTACCTTTCCCCTTGTTGTGAATTTTAGTGAATTTATTGTGAATTTAAGCCGAACTCGCCTTCGACTTGCTCTGTGTTGATGCACCTAACGCTACTGAGATTTCTACTTTAAAAATCTTTTGATCAACTTTTAATTTCCTACAGGTAACGCTCAGTACCTGTCGCCTTGGTGTGAATTTTAGTGAATTTATTGTGAATTTATGCCGAACTCGCCTTCGACTTGCTCTGTGTTGATGCACCTAACGCTACTGAGATTTCTACTTTAAAAATCGTTTGATCTACTTTTAATTTCCTACAGGTAACGCTTAGTACCTTTCGCCTTGGTGTGAATTTTAGTGAATTTATTGTGAATTTATGCCGAACCCGCCTTAGACTTGCTCTGTGTTGATGCACCTAACGCTACTGAGATTTCTACTTTAAAAATCTTTTGATCTACTTTTAATTTCCTACAGGTAACGCTTAGTACCTTTCGCCTTGGTGTGAATTTTAGTGAATTTATTGTGAATTTATGCCGAACCCGCCTTAGACTTGCTCTGTGTTGATGCACCTAACGCTACTGAGATTTCTACTTTAAAAATCTTTTGATCTACTTTTAATTTCCTACAGGTAACGCTCAGTACCTGTCGCCTTGGGTGTGAATTTTAGTGAATTTATTGTGAATTTATGCCGAACTCGCCTTCGACATGGTCGGCGTTGGCGTGCCTAAAGCTACTGGGATTAATAGTGCAATTGTCTGTACTCTATCATTATGTCGTGTGCTAATTATGGACAAATCACAATTAAAAGATATACGGGGAAAATCAAAAAGTTGTTAAATTCAGAATGATCCTACATTTTTCTAGTCCGAAGAGCAGAAAAATGTGTATTACCAAAGATGCTGTATAATAATTTTTGAATAATCTTCCGTTTTCGAAATAAGTACGTACGGGGTTAGGTAAAAAAGTTATAGGACGTACCTTCATTTTCTAAATGAAACACCCTGTATATCATTAGAGTTTTTTCAAACCTGTAAATCGTTTTCGAAATTTTTTAAATCAAGAGGCGTTAGTGGGTCACTAGATGTTTCCTTGACACGGATTTTCACGAAATGCATAGTTCTTTAGCACCTCTGACGGGTCTCTAAGGGATTTTATTAATCCCATCTGGTACCCTTCAAGGAAATTAATATTCGAATATGCATAAGTTTACGAGTTGGTCTCTAGGTGTACTTATTATAAAACATTTTGTGCGATAGTTATTCTGGCACGATTAGTGCGTTGTGTGTGGGTGCACCATCTTGTTGAAACCAACATTTTTCAACTTTGTTTTTTTTTGTATATACAGTATACAGTATGTACATTTTTAGGGGCGATATAGGAGAACAAAGTTGATGATTTCTCCGAAACCAAACGTTGTATTGAAAATCCCTGAACGGTGACTTCTAGAGCCCAAAAAGTGGTTTTTGTGTCTCATTCGATTTGATTACGTCATTTTAATTAAATGCTTCTACTCGCACCAGATCGCAAACAGTCAAAAAATCGCCCTCTCACGTAATTTAAAAAAATCGTGCTTCATTAAATCGTATGTAAATGACAGGCTTTCAGCCGAAAATTTAACGCCAGAATCTAAAAATAAACGAGAAGCCCAAAGCAGTTACCCTAGACGTAGGTCAGTGCTCATAATAAAAAACATTCCAAACCAGTCTCTTCCTTCTTTTTTTTCTTCTTTTTTTCAAGCGTTGATCCCGAAACGAATTTGATAAACCGGTCCTAATTTACGAAGTGGCCCGCTTATAGCGCAATAATAAAAAAGAAGATAACTGTAAATAATTACCGAGCCGTTTTCCAAACGTACGCAACCGAAAGAAGAAGCCGTCGGGACGTCCGTCGAACTCGTCCCTGGTCAACACCTCCCTGATCGCTTCCACTCCCGAAACGGTAACGACAATATTCCTCCCCATCTTAAAGCACACCACCGGTCCGTAGGTTCTCGAAAACTCCTCGTGCACCAGGTGGTGGTAACCGAGAACGGTCAGTCGGCGACGGAACTGCAGGTAATTGCCGACGATCGGCCACCACTTCGGACCTGGAAAGTCCCAATTATAGCCACGCTAAATTTGTCGCAATCGCCTTACCTGGTGGATAACCCTTCGGCTTCCTCGTGTCGAGCACGCAAACCAGAATCAGCACCAGGAGAACGACGACGAGGAGCGCTAGCATCGCGGGCCGCTTCTGTTACAGTTTTAACAATTCGGCGGTACCGGTTTCCCTTTATATAGGCACTGGTAGCTCCATTAGAATGACAAAAAAATACTTGACCTCGTGTAGCTGCCCTTATAGATATCTAAATCTATTCTTTTGTGTACGCTTATAGTTACGTCGAAGGATAACGCAACACGAGAAAGCTACGTTTGAAAAATTTACGATCGCCATTAGAAAACTCTTTTCGAAGGTGAATCACCTGCACATTCCACCCAATATTTCCAGTGCAACAGGTGAGTAAAAAGGATCCGAAAGTCCTTCACACATCACATTTTTCAGTTGATCTTTTGGTAGGGATTTCTGAAGCAGCATTTTTTTGAAAAATGAGAAATTTGAGCTAAATGGGTGAACCTCACTTCTAAAGGCTTTTAAGGACTCGTAAAAGTAGCGTATAGGTTTTAAAGTCTTCACGGGACTTTTAAGAAATAAAGATTTCTGAAAACCTTAGTCCTTTCATGGCCTTAAGACCCTTAAATACGCTTAAAGGCTGTCACGGACTCGCAAAATCTCTTAGTCTTCACTTTTGAAGAACTTGAACGGATCCTGGAGGGTGTTTTTAGGGCCTTGGAAGCTCTTCAAATTGTTTTGCGTATGTGATCTCATAAAAACATTTAATGCCCCATAAAGGCTCCTAAAGGCTGTTCAAAACAAGCGTTGTAAAGATTCTGATATCGTACTAAGATTTGCAAGGTCTCTTCAAGATCCCCATAGACTGAAAGCTAAGGTCCGTAAGGGTATTTTGGAAGATCGTAGAACTGGATTGGAAAAAAAATTGATTGTGGCGTGAATAAGGCTAGAAAAAAGGCCAGTAGAAGAACGCAAAGAAGAATTACTCAAAAGAGGTATGAGTAAATGTAAAAGGAAGGTCAATGGAGATAAGGCTCCAAAGAGGCACGAAAAAGCGAGAAGAAAAGTTAAAGGAGAGCGGTTTTAAGGAGTTTCGAAGGGGAAGGTCTTAAGGAAGCGTGCAGAAGGTTAAAATGGCGCATGAAGAAGAATGAAAAGAACCGTGAAAAACGCTAGACGGAGACGTAGCGGAAACAGTACGGAGTCGTGGGCTTGTAGGAGATCAAAAAGAGGAAAGTCAATGAAAAAAGCTGGAAATTCAAAAGGGCTAAAAAAAAAAGGCGCGAAGAAGGTTCGACAGGGGAGGTGAAAAGGGAACAAAGGAAGGAAGGCGTAGTGAAACCCGAGGTAGGCGCGTAACACTGGAGGAGGGACATAGTTGAGATGCATTGGCCGCAAAGAAAGAGGTTCGAAGAAAGTGTGAACAACATAGAGGTTGTCGTTCGGGCTAAGAGGAAGCGTGGAAAAAAATGAAAAATGGCGCGGTGAGAGCCCGAACGGTTCGAGAAAAGGGCCCAAAGCAAGCGTGCAGAAACCTTAAAGTAGAGGTGAATAATTAAAATAAACGTGAAGGAAGCCAAACAGAGGCGTGTAAAAAAATTCAAGGATGCGTAATGAAGCTTTGAAAGAATCGTAAGAAAGGATGTCTCTTAAAAGTGATCCTTTAAAAGCAAGCCTTGAAAATCTAAAGGCTTTTAAAGAATCTAACTAGTCCCAATGTTGGAAAAGGAAGGTTCTCTAGGGCCCTTAAAAGTTTTTCAAAACTATGTGCGACCTTTAACGGCTCGTGAGGTTTTGACAATAACCTTTAAAAGTTGACAAATAGTCCTTAAAGAGTATTCAAGGCAAACATTCTCAAAAAGTGTTAAGACTTTCTAAGGTTACTTAAAAATTCTCAAAAACTCAAAGACCAAAAGCCTTTAGAATAGTTTAAAGGATCTTAGAACCTTTTGCAAGGTCTTGAAAGTGTTTCCAAAGTTTCTAAAGGACTGCGCTCCATGTTAAGGCGTTCTAAGACCCTCATAGACTTAGAACAATCTTTGAAACCTATATAGGCTGCTGAGCGTCTCAAAAGGTAGTAAAGCCCTTCAAATACTTAATTTTTAAAGGTTCTCGTACATCTTGAAGACTGATAGAGGTTCTAAAAGGCTGGAAAGGATTCTTATAGGCTAGGATATTGAGGAGAACGAAAGAAAGTTAAGGGAAGTAAAAAAAAAGGCCTCGTGGCGAAGATTTGAAAATGACGTCAAGAAAGGTCTACGAGATCCAAGGGTTCGAAGAAGTATGAAGGAGTTAAAGAAGGTTAAAGGAGGCTGTTCGATGAAAGCGTGAAGTAAAATGATCAAAGGGCACGTAGAAGACTCGGAGGAGGTGTGAAGTACGATCAACGGAGGCGTGAGTGTACAAGAAAGCGTCAAAAACGCTGTGACGTGCATGGTGGAGGTTTTAAAAAAAATTAAAAAAGCTCGAAGGAAGCACGAAGAACGTTGGAAAGAGGCGATACCAAATTAGTAAAGGTTCGAAGGAAGATCGACGGAGGTGCTGAGGATGTTCAAAGGCTTACAGAAAGCTCGAAGTAGAAGTGAGGACTCCTCTAAGACGGCGTGAAGATGGATCGGAGGAAGCGAGAAGGTTAAAATGGAACGGCAGTGGGAGCGTGGTGGGGGATGCAAATGGGCGCGAGGAAGACGTCACCAAGGAACCGTGGAGAGAACACGTAGAAAACTGAAAAAAAGTAAGGAGGCGTGAGGAAGAAGCGAGCGAGGCCTGAACCCCGAGGAACGCTAAAACCAATCGTAGTGTATGCCGAAAAAGGACTACTCGAAGAATATGTGAAGATGGATCAAAAGGAAAGTGGTGCGGCGTAGAGGGGGGCGGAGAGAGTGCTTGTAGGGGGATCGATAGAAGCGCGAATACGCCACAAAAATAGCGTGAAAATAATTTGGGGGAGTGAGCAAGAATCCAAGGAGACATGAAGGAGGATTGAATGAGGCGTGATAAATACTTGAAGACTTGTGAAAAAGGGGGCGTGAAGACGACATAAAAGAAGCGTGGATATTGCTCAAAAGCGTAAGAAAAGGACAAATAAGGTTTGTGAGTATGTACGCCATAGGAAGCAGGATGAAAAGAAGAGGATCGAAGGACGGGTGAAGAAGGAACGGAGGAGGATAAAAGAGTGTTAAATCAAATCTTCTTCAAACCTCTTTCAAACCTTCTTTGAGCTTTGCACGCCCCATTTAAGTAAGTGGGAATAGGAAAACTCACTAGAGTCGATGGAGGTGAGGGTGCGGATCTAAGTAAGTGGGAAACAGGTCTTAAAAACCAGCTTGCTCAAGACAAGGAGATAGATATGAGTCCTCTTTTTATACCATGGGATCAAGAGTGAAGGAGAACCACATTTGTGTGGTTTTTTGTTCTACAACACGTGCGGTACATTAATTTTTTGCGCCCAACGTTTGGGGTTTCGATTTATCGCACTTATCTTCTTGTGCCTTATCAGGTAGTAATTACTTTCCTTATTTGTTACCTTACCCTCATCCATTCGTATCTTTGGAGTTCATTTTATCACTTCCTATTGTTTGTTTTAGTAGATTAGTTATTGGTTAAATTTACAAATTTGACAGTATATAAATATTTTATACGTGTACCGCTTCATAAGGAAAGTGAACAGAACTTATATTCAAGAAAATAAATCCCGTTAAGACCCGTTGATAAATTGTTACCACAAAAGCGTTGGGGTCCAAGGTGTAAAATATTGCGTTGGGCTATTTTTTTTTAGTAGCTAGTTACGTTTAGAAACCAGTTTATTAATCAAATTTGTGCATCTTATGAAATTTGGTTGTCCATCCTGGCTCGAAATGGGGTTCCAATTATTAAATAAACGGATTATACCTTCCACATGAAATTTAATAATTAAATTAAATATGCCCGTGGGGGTGGGGCCGAGCTCGGGTACTGTATAAGTACGGTATCTCAATCGTCACTAATTAGTAATCACCGTTACGTGGACACCAGATTAATTTGACATTCGAAGTTCAGTAGGTCAAATTCAGTCATGTTATTCAAAACAGAGCGGGATTTGGCAGATACAACTGATATTTAGCATCTACTAGTGAGAGATTAGAGCAAGTTACGAAACTATATAAGATTAAAAGTCAAGAGGGATTCTTGAAACGTAAAAAAATGCGAGAAAATGTTCGAAAAAAAAACGTCGCAAATAATGCTCGAACGTGGAGGGGGGAGGTGAGAAAAAGGTGTCATGAAGAATAACGGAATGAGGGAGAGGGTATGGGTACGCGAAAAAGTCTCGATGAGATCTTTAAAGACGGCCGAGGGAGGCGTGTATAAGGCACGGAAGAGTCGTTGAGGCGTACTGGAAGGAAACGGGAAAAAGAAGATGGGGAGGGGGCGAAGGGAGCACGAAAAGAGATCGAACGGGGTGCGAAGGAACCGTAGAGAAAGCTATAAAAAGTTGTAGTAAAGTAGGCGTAAAATGTGCTGAAAAAGTTAAAAGGAAGTGTGAAGAAGGTTCGAATGAAGTATGAAGAAAAACGCGCGAAAGAAATAGTCAAAATGACGTGGAGAAGTAGGCTCGATGGAAGCTCCAATAAGGCTTGAAGGATAACGTGGAGAATGTTTAAGAGAGCCGTGAAGAGGAATCGAATGAGGTATGGCTAAAAAAGAAAGTGGCAGAAAGCGGAATAGGGATTGAAAGAGGCGTGAAAAACGTGGTGGAAGTTGTAATGAAGTGTGGAAAAGCTTAAAGGAAGCATGGACATAAATCGTAACTGCAGCGAGAAAGACTCGGAAAGGGGGGTCCGATGTAGGCTAGAAGAGGTGTGAAAGAAGGCTTAAAGGATGACCTCCTAAAGAAAGAGTGAAAGAGGCTCGTATAGATCCCGAGGAAAAGACAAAAGAGCTGTGATAATTTCAGTGATCTACGGTGCGAAGAAGGCGAACAGAATGCTCGAAGGAATCCTGAAGGTCTACACCTTTTGCATCGTCGATTTTTTCATCTTCCTCGACTTCTTCAAGTTCCTCACCTCCGTCCATTTTCCTTAGCTTCTTCGGTTGCTACATCACCAGTTTCTTTGAACTTCGAAATCTTCAAAGGTTTTTCGTTGTTTTTGGCATCTAGGGCTTTATGGGTTTGTTTGGTTTCATCTTCTTCGAACTTACGTATCAGTTTTATTTTGTTATTTTCAATTACCACGAGTTTCTTGACTTTTCTTCTTTTTCTTTTGCAGAAGAAAGATCCTCCGCGCATTTTTTCTGAACAGTTTACACTTTCGAAACCAGTCGACTTTGGTATAGTATGTGAAATTTCTGGGTGTCAGCACATCCTAGGAATTCTTCAAATATCCATGTGGTAGCATTTGCCTATGGAAACGTTTTTTTTTGTTGATTGGTTTATTCCTTAATATCCAGAGGTCTGCATTGATGCACAGAAACCTGGTCCTTGCGCAACCCCAATGATCTTAGATTCCTAGGAGTTGGTACGCTATGCTCGTACCCAGCATTTTCTGTTTTTTATGAAAAACATTCGGAATTTTTCTAATTCGGGAACTTTCCAGAAATATTTTTTTAAATGAAATCTAGAGGTCTCAATGTCGCCTTTTGGTCGAGTTACTTTGTGCCGAACTCACCTTCGGCTCGCTCGGCATTGGAGCACAGAGCACAATTTTTTTGCGGCCCCAATGATTGTAACATTCTAGGAGTTGGCATCTATGCTCGCCGAGGATTGCCGATCGAGCTGAAGGCGAGTTCGGCACAACTCCTACCCCGCTTATCCACTTTTCATGAAAAGAAATTCGGAATTACTCGCGAACTTTCTAGAAAGAATCTGAGGTTCTCTCTGTCGCCTTTTAGTCGAGCTATCTTATGCCGAACTCACCTTCGGCTCGCTCGGCATTGGAGCACAGAGCACATTTTTTGCAGCCCCAATGATTGTAACATTCTAGGAGTTGGCCTCTATGCTCGCCTAGGATTGCCGAGCGAGCCGAAAGCGAGTTCGGCACAACTCCTACCCCGCTTATCCACTTTTCATAAAAAGAAATTCGGAATTATCCGCGAACTTTCTAGAAAGAATCAGAGGTTCTCTCTGTCGCCTTTTAGTCGAGCTATCTTATGCCGAACTCACCTTCGGCTCGCTCGGCATTGGGACACAGAGCACAATTTTTTTTGCAGCCCCAATGATTGTAACATTCTAGGTGCTGGCATCTATGCTCGTCGAGGATTGCCGAGCGAGCCGAAGGCGAGTTCGGCACAACTCTTACCCCGCTCATCCACCTTTCATGAAAAGAAATTCGGAATTATTCGCGAACTTTCTAGAAATTTCGTTTTTTTTATTCAAATCGGGAGGTTTCTCGATCCCCTTTTGGTCGAGTTACTTTATGCCGAACTCATCCACGGCCTTCTCGGTATTGGTACACAGAGCGCCTTACCTTTGCAACTCCAATGACCTTAGCTTCCTAGTATTTAGTACGTTATGCTTGCCGAGAATTGCCGAACGATCCGAAGATCCTCCGCGCATTTTTTCTGAACAGTTTACACTTTCGAAACCAGTCGACTTTGGTATAGTATGTGAAATTTCTGGGTGTCAGCCCATCCTAGGAATTCTTCAAATATCCATGTGGTAGCATTTGCCTATGGAAACGTTTTTTTTTTGTTCATTGGTTTATTCCTTAATATCCAGAGGTCTGCATTGATGCACAGAAACCTGGTCCTTGCGCAACCCCAATGATCTTAGATTCCTAGGAGTTGGTACGCTATGCTCGCCGATAATTGCCGAGCGAGCCGAAGGCGTGTTCGGCACAAACCCTACCCAGCATTTTCTGCTTTTTATGCAAAACATTCGGAATTGTTCTAATTCGGGAACTTTCCAGAAATATTTTTTTAAATGAAATCTAGAGCTCTCAATGTCGCCTTTTGGACGAGTTACTTTGTGCTGAACTCACCTTCGGTTCGCTCGGCATTGGGACACGGAGCACAATTTTTTTGCAGCCCCAATGATTGTAACATTCTAGGAGTTTGCATCTATGCACGCCGAGGATTGCCGAGCGAGCTGAAGGCGAGTTCGGCACAACTCCTACCCCGCTTATCCACTTTTCATGAAAAGAAATCCGCGAACTTTCTAGAAAGAATCAGAGGTTCTCTCTGTCGCCTTTTAGTCGAGCTGTCTTATGCCGAACTCACCTTCGGCTCGCTCGGCATTGGGGCACAGAGCACAATTTTGTTTGCAGCCCAAATGATTGTAACATTCTAGGAGCTGGCATCTATGCTCGTCGAGGATTGCCGAGCGAGCCGAAGGCGAATTCGGCACAACTCCTACCCCGCTTATCCACTTTTCATGAAAAGAAATTCGGAATTACTCGCGAAACTTTCTAGAAAGAATCTGAGGTTCTCTCTGTCGCCTTTTAGTCGAGCTATCTTATGCCGAACTCACCTTCGGCTCGCTCGGCATTGGGGCACAGAGCACAATTTTTTTTTGCAGCCCAAATGATTGTAACATTCTAGGAGCTGGCTCCATGCTTGCGGAGAATTGCCGAACGATCCGAAGATCCTCCGCGCATTTTTTCTGAACAGTTTACACTTTCGAAACCAGTCGACTTTGGTATAGTATGTGAAATTTCTGGGTGTCAGCCCATCCTAGGAATTCTTCAAATATCCATGTGGTAGCATTTGCCTATGGAAACGTTTTTTTTTTGTTCATTGGTTTATTCCTTAATATCCAGAGGTCTGCATTGATGCACAGAAACCTGGTCCTTGCGCAACCCCAATGATCTTAGATTCCTAGGAGTTGGTACGCTATGCTCGCCGATAATTGCCGAGCGAGCCGAAGGCGTGTTCGGCACAAACCCTACCCAGCATTTTCTGCTTTTTATGCAAAACATTCGGAATTGTTCTAATTCGGGAACTTTCCAGAAATATTTTTTTAAATGAAATCTAGAGCTCTCAATGTCGCCTTTTGGACGAGTTACTTTGTGCTGAACTCACCTTCGGTTCGCTCGGCATTGGGACACGGAGCACAATTTTTTTGCAGCCCCAATGATTGTAACATTCTAGGAGTTTGCATCTATGCACGCCGAGGATTGCCGAGCGAGCTGAAGGCGAGTTCGGCACAACTCCTACCCCGCTTATCCACTTTTCATGAAAAGAAATCCGCGAACTTTCTAGAAAGAATCAGAGGTTCTCTCTGTCGCCTTTTAGTCGAGCTGTCTTATGCCGAACTCACCTTCGGCTCGCTCGGCATTGGGGCACAGAGCACAATTTTGTTTGCAGCCCAAATGATTGTAACATTCTAGGAGCTGGCATCTATGCTCGTCGAGGATTGCCGAGCGAGCCGAAGGCGAATTCGGCACAACTCCTACCCCGCTTATCCACTTTTCATGAAAAGAAATTCGGAATTACTCGCGAACTTTCTAGAAAGAATCTGAGGTTCTCTCTGTCGCCTTTTAGTCGAGCTATCTTATGCCGAACTCACCTTCGGCTCGCTCGGCATTGGGGCACAGAGCACAATTTTTTTTGCAGCCCAAATGATTGTAACATTCTAGGAGCTGGCATCTATGCTCGTCGAGGATTGCCGAGCGAGCCGAAGGCGAATTCGGCACAACTCCTACCCCGCTTATCCACTTTTCATGAAAAGAAATTCGGAATTACTCGCGAACTTTCTAGAAAGAATCTGAGGTTCTCTCTGTCGCCTTTTAGTCGAGCTATCTTATGCCGAACTCACCTTCGGCTCGCTCGGCATTGGGGCACAGAGCACAATTTTTTTTGCAGCCCAAATGATTGTAACATTCTAGGAGCTGGCATCTATGCTCGTCGAGGATTGCCGAGCGAGCCGAAGCGAGTTCGGCACACCTCCTACCCCGCTCATCCACCTTTCATGAAAAGAATTTCGGAATTATTCGCGAACTTTCTAGAAATTTCGTTTTTTTTTATTCAAATCGGGAGGTTTCTCGATCCCCTTTTGGTCGAGTTACTTTATGCCGAACTCATCCACGGCCTTCTCGGTATTGGTACACAGAGCGCCTTACCTTTGCAACTCCAATGACCTTAGCTTCCTAGTATTTAGTACGTTATGCTTGCCGAGAATTGCCGAACGATCCGAAGGCGAGTTTGGCACAACCCCTACCCTGCATTGTCGACCATTTATGAAAAATGGTTTCGGAATTTTTCTAATTTGGGAACTTTCCAGAAATTTCATTTTTTTTATTAAAATCGGTAGGTCTCCCTGTCGCCTTTTAGTCGAATTGCATTGGCGCAACCCCTACCCAACATTGGTCTACTTTTAATGGAAAAAATTCGACATTTTTCTATTCCAAGAACTTTCCAGGAATTTCTATTTTTATAAAAATCGGGATGTGTCTCGGTTGCCTACTGTTCGAGTTACTTTATACATTGGTGCACAGAGCATCTTGTCTTAGATGTTCCAATGGCCTTAGCTTCCTAGGAGTTGGTACGAAGATTGCCGAGCGAGCCGAAGGAGAGTTCGGCACAACGCCTACTTTTTACGAAAAAATTCGGAATTCCACTAATTTCAATCTCTTGTTTGTTAGAAGTTTATAATAAATGTCATGAACAAAAAACCATGGCATTGACACAGTGTACCATTAACCTTTGAATTTAATAGCTACCAAACGCAAGCGTGAACTTGATCTGAACCATTACTACTACTATCTCAGCAAATATCGTGCCTAAAAGATACCATTGCAACAGCAGTCCAAGAATTCTTATGACGACACATCCAGCTAATCTCACCAAGTTTATTAATCTCGAACGTTTAAAATTATTTTCAATAAAAACACTCATTCAACAATCAATAATGTTGGTGTTAATTAGCATCTTTTTGATATGCCTGTGGCTGCTGAGTATTTCGAAACCGAAATGTTTCCCGCCAGGTGAGCCTATAGCATAACATTTTTTTCGAGGGCAGAACATCAATTTTCCCCTAGTTTTAAAACAATATTGGTTTGTCATGACGCAACATTACATAGGATGGTATCGAGTTGTTGGAAAAACTTTGCAGTAGGGCACTAGTATCAGAGACTTGTTATACTTTACCAGTTCGGTGGGTGGCCTACCATGTTGACAACATACAACTTGAGCTATGCGCGGTCTAGTAGTAACAAGTCTGACTAGTATAGATAAAATCTACGTTATGATCACCCACTAAGATATCAACACATAGTTACTTGTTTACCTTGATTCGGATCGTGTTTGTGGTAATTATGAATATGACTATCATTTACTTCTTCCTTTTTTTATATAAAAGTTTCCATTTGCGCGTATTACGTATCGACCTTCAAAATATCAATATCTCGTATTTTGATTACCCTATCATCAGGGGTCGGCAACCTATTAAAACGTAAGAGCCAAATGCAATTTGCAAAATTTCCCAGTTTTTAAAGAACCACTAAACATTTTCGAATCAATACTATAGTATTTGGTCATATACAGGGTCCTGCAACAGTGCGTCCGCCTTTCCTATGATTATACCTGGTAAAAAAGATTTTAAAAAAATCTTGTGTGCAAATGTCAACTACAGATGGCTGCGGATCTACTGAAATTATTTTTGAACGTACAGGGTGTCCCATTTTTACGAGGTCAATAAATAAATGATTTTTTTACATAGAACATCCTGAATATTTATACTTGTTTCAATGTCATTTGTTGAAAGTACCATAACTATTATCTAATCAGTACCAGTGCCGGATTTAGTTCATGGACCGTCGGGGGCTAAGTCATGCCGCCAGTAGGTAGGGAAAAACGCTAAATCTTGGGTTTTTTTGTAATACTTCATTTAATTTTTGTTGTTTTTCTAACTTTTGTCGTTTCCAAAATGCATCTCCTTCTTTTTCGTTCATTTTTTAGAAACTTCACGAAAACACTCCACTAATAAATGAGTACAATTTTCTGCGCTAACGCGTAATGACGTAACGGGATTGACGACACGGCGTGTCAAAATTTACCGCCGGGGGCTAATAGTCCCATAGCCCCCCCTAAATCCGGCACTGATCGGTACAGTGCAAATGAGCTGATTATCATATTTATATAAATATCGAGATACATTAAAAGATGATATGATGATCGCGAGAGATTTACTAAAAAAATCACTTTATCGATATGTTTGTGGTGGTTGCGTTATTTATTGTTGTACTTTGCTTCTATGTCAGTTTGTCGGTTTTGAAACCAAAACGGTTTCCCCCAGGTGAGGCGTGTTCGTTTTCGAATCGATGATTATCTGATTTTAGGTCCACCGTGGAAACCGTTCGTCGGCTCTCGGCCGGATTTCCAAAGGGCGATGGAGAAGACCGGCTACCAACACGCCGCCTTCTCGCTGCTGGCGAGCGAGTGGAAGACGAACGTTCTGGGACTGAAACTCGGAAATGAGATGGTCGTGTCGGTCGAGGACTTTCCCACGATTGAGATGGTCCTCAACAGCAGGGATTACGACCAGAGGCCGACGAACTTTTTCTTCAAGTTGCGCAACTTTGGTACAAGTAAAGGTAATTTCGAACATTTTTACTTTCTTTGAAAGGTGAGTTTTTTGAATTTGAAGTATGTGAACCTTCAATACAATTTAAACGCACAAAGCTTCAGTTTAAATTAAAATATATCCATCTCAGTAAATGAGCAACGTCAGTTCTAGCCCCCTTTGACCTTGAGATCTGCGCATGCGCCCAGTTTATGGTCATTCGTGTCGGTCAGTTGGACAGAAACAGGCATGTTCATCAAAATCACATCGGTTCCATGGCAGGTAACAGAATCAGGGTCGTTTAACCGAACTGTTTCTGATACTGCCGTCGACACAGAACCGAATCGAATGACCTTGAATGCGCAGATCTCAAGGTCAATTGATACTTACAAAATCTCACCTCAATGGTATTCCATTTTAGGAATTACCTGCGCCCATGGCGAGCTCTGGAGCAATCAAAGGAAATTCCTTTCGCGCTACCTCAACGTGATCACCACCAAGGAGCTCGATCTCAACATAAACAGAGAGGTGCAAAATTTGTTCCAGGAGCTAGAGTCTTCCAAATCCGTCAACATTATGGATCTGTTACGGTATACCGTCTTCAACATCCTATGGTCGATTGTCGCCGGTAAGCGGGTCTGTTCGAAGGTCTTCGAGAAGAACCAGCTGATGGGGATTATGGCGAGAAGAACCAAAGCGTTTGATATGGCCGGCGGTATCTTGTCGCAGTACCCTTGGCTGCGCTTTTTCATTCCGGAGCGAAGCGGATACTCGCTGATTAAAAACTTGAATAGGGAGATGAAGGCGTTTCTCGTCGAGACCATCGATGACCATCGACGGACGTGGGTGAAAGGGAGCGAGTCCGACTTCATCCACAGCTACATCAGCAAAATGAAGGAGGAGCACGATGAGCATTTCACAGGTTCGGCAGATTGCCTTTTCTCTTCCTAACCGTTGGGTTACAGACGAGCAGCTCTTCTTCGTCTGCTTAGACCTGTTCATCGGAGGGTTTTCCACAACGGCCCTGACGCTAGGATTCATCTTTCTCACAATGGTCCGCCACCAAGACGTTCAGAGCAAAATCCAAAAGATGCTCGACCAACACTTTGAGGATGGCCACCAGTGGGAGTACCAAGACCGATATAAGTAAACCATCCACGGGTTAACCCTCAGGCAAAACGTTGACTGTTTCATTTCAGAGTCCCATACGTCGAAGCGGTCATCAAAGAGATCCAGAGGCACAAAAGCATCTCGCCCATCTTCGGGCCGCGAGCCACCGCTCGGGATACGCAGCTTAACGGCTACACGATCCCCAAGGTGAGACGCGCCCGTTGTAAATCCGGCTAAAGTTTCGACGTTTAGGGCACGACGGTCCTGTTAAACATGCAACCGACGTGGATGAGCGAGGAGATCTGGGGAGATCCGGAGGAGTTTCGGCCCGAACGTTTCCTGGACGAGCGCGGGCAAATGGCGAACGGTTCGAAGTTCGTGCCGTTCGGCATAGGTCGGAGGAAGTGCCCCGCCGATTCTTTCGCGCAGCGATCCCTGTTCGTGATCGTCACGAAGCTGTTGAAGCAGTACAGAGTGCTGCCGGTCGATGAGGATAACCCACCGTCAATGAAACCTATACCGGGAATGCTGCTCTCGCCCACTCAGTATTTGTGCAGGTTTGAGAGGAGAACTAAGTAATGTGATTCTTCCAGAAGTAGGATGGGTAGGCTTTTAGATATAAGATACGCTAATGTTAATTTTTTTATATATTGAAGTTAAATACAGAGCTTTTTTTTGAAGTAGGTATTCCGAAAAACCATTTGGACGTTTTCAAACGGAAATTGATGCTTAAATAGCAATTTGGCGTTTCTTGAACCGTGGGTTGCAATCAAGCCAAGATGTTTTTTGGCTCAGGTGCCAAGTGCAATTCTGTTAGCCTTAAGATTGTTCCCATTTCAGAATGTCTAATGGTATTCAAGAAATTTCAAAGATTTTTAAGAACCCCCTGTCTTTTTCAAAGCACGGTCTTTTGAGAAGATCTTGAATATTTCTGTACAATTTTGGCTTTTAAAATCGTGTCTAAGGTGTTATAGGTCTTGAAAGGTTCTTAACACTCAAAGAAAAGGCTGTTGGAGGCCTTTAAAAGATGTTTAATGCCCTTAGTGACTCTTCTAAGGCTTTTATAAGAAATGAAGGTTCTCTGACGACTCTCTGCTCTAAAAAACTTTTAGAGATTTTTAGGAACTATTAAAAATCTATGATGTATGGAGGCATTGATGATTCATAAAGACTTTCCAAAATAGAACCCCTCCCCTATAAACCTCAGTCCCTTTATGGTGGTGTTTGTAAATTGCGATCAAACTGTCGTGTGTGCTGGGGGGTACTCCAGACCTCCCGATAACACTTTCTTCCATACACCGTGTATCCTTCAGGACTCGCTTGACAGTTCTTGGGGAAGGATTGTGAGGTCCCCTTCACCGTACTGTGTGGAAATTTCGATGAAACTGTCGTGTGTACGGGGGGAGGGGGGGGGGGGAACTTCCCCGGTTACCCTTTCTTCCATAAGCCGTGTATCCTTCGGAACTCGCTTGATACTTTGTTGGGGAAGGATGTTGAGGTCCTCTTCTCCGTACTGTAGAGAACGTAGTACCGGGGGGGTCTTAAAACCGATGACAATTTCCGGAAAATTCTATTAAAAGCGACGGGGAGGGGGCATCCAACAAAGGAAGACTCCACAACCATTTCCCTATAAACCTCAATGCCCTTACGATGATCTTCTTGAAGTGCTAGTAGAACCATGGTGTGTATACTGCGGGGGGGGCTATTGTATACCCTCCAGACCCCCCGGTAAACTTTCTTACATAAACCATTTTTTCTTCGGAACTCGAATGACATTTGTTCGGGAAGGACTATTAAGTCCCCTTCTCCGTGCTACGGAGAACCTAGTACCGGTCTGAGGGGTATTGCAATACCCCCCCCCCCCCCAAACACCATTACGCCATACCAATGAAAAAAGCCTTGACCGTCTCCGTGAAAGTATGTTAAAAGCGGTGGGGGTTCAAAACCGCACCGCAAAGAAAGACCCCACAACCCCTACCCTAATGGTGGTGCTTTGGAACGGGCAATGGAGCTGTTGTATGTGCTGGGGGTACTCTATACCCACCAGATCACCCGGTAATACTTTCTTATATAAACCCTTTATCCTTCAGGACTCCTTCTCTGTACTGCAGAAAACATAACACTGGGAGGAATGGAATATTACCCCTCCACATTCCCGAGTAAAGAAAAAATGTATGATCATTTTCCGGAAAATTGTATTAAAAGCGTACAGACGACGGTTCCATTTTCATTTCGAAAAGAATACCATAAGAGCACTGGGGTTGTGGAGTTTTGAAGGATTCACGGTTTATGAATACTCCCTCTCCACGATAGTTCCATTGACATTTAGGAAACAACGCCATAAGCTGGGGGTTGTGGAGTCCTCCTTTGCAGGTGTGGTTTTGAACCCTCTCGCATCTTTTAACATAATTTTGCGGAAATGGTCATTGATTTTTTCATTGCTGGAGTATTCCATACCCCCTACACACCCGCAGGTGATACGCTCTCTGCAGTACGGAGAGGAGGACCTTAACCGTAAGAGTACTGTGGTTATACAGTCCTTTTTTGCGGGGTGGTTGTGCCCCCCCCCAAACTTTTTCAACATAACCACCATAAGGGCACTGGGGCTTTCGAACCCTCGCCGATTTTAACATAATCTTGCGGAAATGGTCATAGATGTTTTCATTGCTAGTGTGTAGTGGTTCTGAGGGTGTTCCATACCCCCCAAACTCCCCGATGCTACGTTCTCCGCGGTACGGAGGAGTGAACTTCTGGAAGAAAGGGTTACCAGGGGGTCTGAGGGATATGCCATAAACCCCCAGTACGCACCACAGTTCCATTGTCACTTCCAAAACACAACCATAAAGGCACTGGGGTCGTAGGGTCCTTCTTTGGAAGTGGTTTTGAACCCCCGCACCTTTGCACATAATTTTGTGGATCATGCAGTTTTTCATTGCTGGAGCGTAGTGGTACTGGGGGGTATTCCCCCTATCTATTGAAATCTTCTTGTAACCAACCCAACATCATTTCGAAATCTTCCTTTTATTGAGTTAATCTTGAAATCTAGAAGCCCTTTGGGGTGATTGATCAATTTTCCCATTTTTTTTTAAAAAAAAGCTCAGCTTTTGAAGTTTTGGAGCTGCGATTTTCTTGAGCTTTCAGAAACTTTTAAAAGCTCATAGCTTTCTTAGGAGCTTTAAAATCTCTTCAAATTCCGGTTTTCTGACACTGATTTTGAAAAAGTTTCGAAAATTTTTCAAAACCTTTTGGGTTTCTGTAGGACTAAAGACCTTCCATGACTCTTAAAAGCGCACACAAGCTCCCGAGGCTCAGCTGTTAAAGGGAGAATAAAATTTCAGGGCACTTTAAGCTCTTCTGAAACACCTAAGAAGCTCGTAAAGATAACGGATGTCCCTTTAGTCTTTCTATACTAATTAAGTAAGATAAAAATGCTCTTAAATGCCCAAGTGTCTCTCACATACTATTAAGAGTCATTTAGAGATAACTGTGAATGCTCTTGATGATTCTTAAAAGTCTTTAAAGGTTCATAACTCACTTAGTGAGCTTTAAATCTCAAAGAGGTTTTAAAACCCCGTTTAAAACTCTAAGCTACTAAGAAGCAGTGGAATGCAATGGAAACCCTGGGAGGAAAAGTATTTGGTAACTACCAAAGCTCTGAAAATAAATTTAGGCTTAAGTCCCAACACCTAAAGGTTTTTAAAGGCTTTTAAAAGTGCTCTAAGATTCTAACGTCTTGAAAAGGCTCCTTTTACGGCTTTTAAAAGTACTTGAGGAAGCCCATGAAACCTCTCGAAGGTTTTCAAGGACTAAAACACACTAAAGGCGATTTATAGACGCTTGAAGGTATTATAATTGCATTTGGGAAAGGTATTCAGGGCGTTTTTAAAAACCTCTATATTTTCCAGAAGCATAAAAACAGACAACTCCTCGCATATTATGTGTTTCTAATAGAAACCCTTGTTTTAAAAGTTGTATCAAGATTGCAGAAATATGAGGAGGTAAAATATTTTATGAACAGGCGCCCCGCTCCCACCAAGTTTTGCAAAAAATCATTGTTACTGATCTATCATGGAAAAAGAAGTATTTACAGATTCCAGGTACAAGATGTATCAGGATCACAGAAACTCGAGGAACTGAGATATTTATACCCATGTCGAACCTACCGGGCTCTCCTGTTACAAACATCTCGTTTTACTGGTGTATCAGGATCACAAAGCCATAAAAAAGTATCACGACTATTAAGTGTTCCTAATATTATTTAAATAATCTCATATTCTGTTGTATCTGGATTACAGGAATGCAGGAGCATTAGGTTTTGAAACAAATTTCTGATCGCGATCAGGTAAAAAAAATATCGACCTCTTAACTTATGTTTCCCGATACAAATTTCTGCTTTCAAAGTCCACAGAACTGTTAAGAGGTGGAATATCACATTTTTCTACTATTATGTTCCCTTGTTACAAATTCCTTGATATATTAGGGCCACAAAAAAGCAAACAGAAATTGTGGACACGTATCGTTTTAGAGCAGAGGTAAAATATTTAATATCAAAGCAAATGCTTCGCTGTTTATGTTCTCCTGATACAAATTTGCCTGCAAAAATTACCACCCCCTCACGCATTATGCTGTATCAAGCTCACAGAAACGTGAGGAGATTAAATACCTAATATCAAAGACACATTTTGCTCCTATGTATTAACGTTGCCCTATTACAAAGTTACAGGAGACATTGACCAATTAAAAATAATTAAAGTGAACTGACGCAACCACTTTCGCCCTTGAGCTTAGTTGGTTGCCTAACGCTGTAATAAATATTTTGTTTTCAGGTTTCCATGAAAACTGCGAGCTTTTCGAAAAGCGGGAATCACAATGATGCCGATCAGATTATCGACCAACGTAGGTACTTGTTGCTATCTGTCCGTTTACTGATAAACTACGCATTGAACCATAGGTATTTTGCATAAAAATTTGAAGTGTTTTTTTTTCTGTTCTGGGCCATATCTCCAATGTAAGCCGCCGGTGGTTTTCTTGGCCTACGTGCCGCACAAGGATCGCGTCGTTTTTCCCAAAAACATCGGTAAACAACATGCAAAAGATAAAAGACTCCTTACTACATGTTTCTATTTTAACGTTTTGAGATTAGATAAGTTCTTCTACGAAAAATGTTTCGACCTCTGAGCCGGGTATAACTTTGACGAAGGTAAAATTGTGGGTTATTACGCTGACTAATTTGGTGCGGAGTCCAAGCTTACCATTCCATTTCGGTCGACTATCCGTTGCGTTTGATCAGAAACTGGTTGTTTCCGGATTGACATTCGTTTCGCTTGTTCAATTCAGGTAACAAATCCAGAAACCAAAAAGCTCAAAAAGGAAAACCAAAAACCATCGCGAACAAAAACAAAAAACATTAAAGGTGAAAATTAGCCAAATTCTTTGTCATTTTTGAAAAAAAAACGTTTCGAGTTCCCACTACGCCAAAAATTTAATTTCGTATTCACCAAGGAATCGTTTCCTTAAAACTTTCTGTGCTCCTGGTATTTGTCCTTCACGGGATGGATTCCAGACGGAAGTTAATGGAACTGCGAAAGAAAACAACAAAAGAAACCACTGAAGAAGTAGTGAGGAAAACTAATCGATCATTACCACAAAAAACGACAGGGAGCATAGCTGGGAGGGAGAATTCGAGAAGTTGGAAGAAACTCAAAACTTAAGAGACAACGGTAGTAGTTTTTCGTTTGCTATTGTGTAATGAATTACCGACCACCCTCTTCCTCCCATGTATGTGAATTTCCCGTCCCTATTCTCCAACCTCTCTTTTCTGATAATTGCAGTAACACTTCTCCCTCATTGTTACACATTTTATCTCTTCATTCTCTGTTTTGTAATCCTCTTCCAATCTCGACCCATTTTCCTTTAGTTCCTGTTCTGGCATTAAAATCCCTCTCCCTCCCACCCCCGAAATGCGAACAATTTTGAAATGTATTGACAGACACCTTCTGATGAACTATACTCGTACTCTCCTGATACATTTCTTTGTGTCGCACCACTAAGCGGTCAATTTTAAAAAATCGTAAAGAGGCTTTTAAAGAGCAATGAATTCTCTTAAGGGCTTAGTTCTTAATGGTATAACGACATCGGGTCTACCAGACTCCCAGAAACCTTCAAGAGCTATGTATTATTTCTGTCAGGAGAATTTACTACGTGAGGAATTGCAATTTTAGAAAACGATTGTATCAGGAGGGAACAGTACGTAATAATATGTCGAAAAACTGATTGTGTACTTTATTGCGTCTCTGTGCTCCTGACAGCACAATTTTTAAAACACCGTCCATGGGGAAAGCGTCGAGCAACAAATTCTACACATCTCCTGTCATTCTGATACAACACTTTTAGGCGGGAAACTTGTAACAGGAAGACATAAAGACAGGAGAGGGGGAATTTTATCATCGTCTTGCTTTCTTGTGACCCTCCTGCATAACTTACGTGGCATTATTTTTTTGTCTTGTGAAGAAGTATTGGACACACAGTGAAATTAAAAAAAAAACCGATTATACGAGGAGGGAACAGTACACAAGTATGTGTATGAGACCATATTGGATACTCTCTGGGCTCCTGATAACGCAATTTTGAATACATCATTCACGTCAAAGCGTGTGATCCTGATAGAACAGAATGATATAAAGACAGGATATTAGACATCTTAGCATCCCGTTGCCTTCTTGTACCTTTTACGCATCACTTACTCTGCCTTATTTGTGCGGCCAGGAGAACTTCCTACGTGAGGAAGTGTATGACATACATTGCTATTTTATAAGGAGGGCACAGTACGCACGAATGTGGCTGAAAACAGATTGTATCCTGTGCTCCCGATATCACAATTTTGAATGCACCGCCCACGTGAAGGAGAGCATCAACAAATTAATTGTATATATCTCCTGTGATCCTGATACAATACTTTTAGGCGGAAAACTTTAAACAGGAAAATATAAAGATAGGATCGGGGGTAGTTTGGCATACTGTTGCCCTATTATATCTCTCACGCATCACTTACGATTGATTTATTATTTTTGTCAGCAGTATTTACGACGTGAGGTCAGGAGCGCAAAAATACAATGGTGTTTTCAGACACACTATATTGCAATATGTTCTCCTGATATCACATTGCAATTTAAAGAATCGATCGTATCAGGAGGGCATAGTACCTAAAAATGTGTCTGAGAGCACTATTGTGTTTCTGTGCTCCAGACAACACAATTTGGACTAAACCGTCCACGTAAAAGCGTCTAGAAACAAATTCTACACATCTCTTGTGATCCTGTTACAACACCTTCTAGACAAGAAAGTGTAAAGACAGGATAGGGAGTAGTTTAAAATTCTGTTACGCTCTTGTGTCTTTCACGCATCATTTACAGTTGCCACACACTTCAATTTAAAAGAACCGATTCCATCAGGAGAGAACGGCACGCAAGAATTTGTCTGAAAACAGATTGTATACGCGATTGCGTTTCAGTGCTCCTGATAACACAATTTTGTATGTGAAAGCGCGTCCAGAAACAATTTCTACACATTTCCTGTGATCTTGATAACACTTTTTAGGCGGGAAACTTATAACAGGAAGACACAAAGAAAGGAGAGGGGGAATTTTATCATCGTCTTGCTTTCTTGTGACCCTCCTGCATAACTTACGTAGCATTATTTTTTTGTCTTGTGAATAAGTATTGGACACACAGTGAAATTTAGAAAATCCGATTATACGAGGAGGGAACAGTACACAAGTATGTGTATGAGACCATATTGGATACTCTCTGCGCTCCTGATAACGCAATTTTGAATACATCATTCACGTCAAAGCGTGTGATCCTGATAGAACAGAATGATATAAAGACAGGATATAAGACATCTTAGCATCCCGTTGCCTTCTTGTACCTTTTACGCATCACTTACTCTGCCTTATTTGTGCGGCCAGGAGAACTTCCTACGTGAGGAAGTGTATGACATACATTGCTATTTTATAAGGAGGACGCACGAATATGGCTGAAAACAGATTGTATAATCTGTTGTGCTCCTGTGCTCCTGATATCACAATTTTGAATGCACCGCCCACGTGAAGGAGAGCATCAACAAATTAATTGTATATATCTCCTGTGATCCTGATACAATACTTTTAGGCGGAAAACTTTAAACAGGAAAATATAAAGATAGGATCGGGGGTAGTTTGGCATACTGTTGCCCTATTATATCTCTCACGCATCACTTACGATTGATTTATTATTTTTGTCAGCAGTATTTACGACGTGAGGTCAGGAGCGCAAAAATACAATAGTGTTTTCAGACACACTATATTGCAATATGTTCTCCTGATATCACATTGCAATTTAAAGAATCGATCGTATCAGGAGGGCATAGTACGTAAAAATGTGTCTGAGAGCACTATTGTGTTTCTGTGCTCCAGACAACACAATTTGGACTAAACCGTCCACGTAAAAGCGTCTAGAAACAAATTCTACACATCTCTTGTGATCCTGTTACAACACCTTCTAGACAAGAAAGTGTAAAGACAGGATAGGGAGTAGTTTAAAATTCTGTTACGCTCTTGTGTCTTTCACGCATCATTTAGAGTTGACATACATTTCAATTTAAAAGAACCGATTCCATCAGGAGAGAACGGCACGCAAGAATTTGTCTGAAAACAGATTGTATACGCGATTGCGTTTCAGTGCTCCTGATAATACAATTTTGTATGTGAAAGCGCGTCCAGAAACAATTTCTACACATTTCCTGTGATCTTGATAACACTTTTTAGGCGGGAAAGTTGTAACAGGAAGGTATAAAGACAGGATAGGGGGTAGTTGCGCTCTTGTCTCTTCCACGAATCACTTACGGTGGCCTTATTTTGTTTTGTGAGGAACTTACTATACGTGAGGAGGTGTATGACATAATTGCAATTGTAAAAAAGAAGGATGCAGTACGAAAGACTGAGCCTGAAAACAGATTATACACTCTATCGCGATTCTGTGCTCCTGATAACGCAATTTTGAATACACCATCCACGTGAAATCCTTGAGCAACAAATTCTACACATCTCATGTGATCCTGATACAACACTTTTAGGCGAGAAACTTGTAATAGGACGATATAGTGACAGGATATGCGGTGGTTTAGCATCCTGTTACCTTTTTGGGGCTCTGATGCATCAGTTACGTTACCTTATTTGTTTGTGAGGAGAACTTAGTACGTGAAGAGGTTATGACATATATTGCAATTGAAAAAATCGATTGTATCAGGAGGACACAGTACGTAAGATCGATTCTCAATTTTGAATACACCATCCACGTGAAAACGTTTACCGGCATATTCTCCTGCGATCCTGATAAACACTTTTAGGCGGGAAACATGTAACAGGGCGATACAAAGACAGGGTAGCGGTATTTTAGCATCCTGTTGCGTTCTTGTGTCTCTGCTGCAGATGTCACAACTAAAAAGCTGTATCAGGAAAACATAATAGTGAAACAAAAGTGAGCAATTTTTAATAGGAACAGACATGGGACCGGAGACACCGTATTGAAACAAGAACCAATACCGACAAGAGACATTCTGATGGTTATGGGATTAGGAGAATCGTGGGAACACAGCATTTCTGCGTCTAATCTTGTACAAAATACCCACAGCCGGTAGACTTTGAACCATACGTCAAGCGTAATAGGTTCTTCCAGCCGAATAATGCAAGTGTGAATTATTATCAGCGTTTACGAACCTCATTGTGCGTATTTTTGAGGTTCTGTGACCTTGGATGCAGTGTGTATCAGGACAACATAATATACTTGAAAATGAGCTTTGCACTTGTTTTGCTGTGATCCGAATGAAGAGAATCGAAGGGAGGTGAAAAAGGTTTCAAGGGAAATTGCATGAGAAAGTGTTTATCACTAAATAATTGTGGGAAAAAGTTGGCATTGGGAGAGAAAAATTCCACCGTCTCTGTTTGGATCGAATGCGTTAAAGTTTGATCTTAGGAGACCGTTTTCTATAAAGAATGTTAGCCGTCAGTAACCCCCCTCCCGCTCCTTCGAATGAAACTGATTGAGTCTTGCTAATACTACTACAACTAAATTGGTCCTCCGAGCCGAATCAAATTTTTTTTCTATCAGATTTTTGTCACGGCCTGTTCGGCTTCCACTGATTCACCGAGTCTATTAAAAAACACGGCGTCCGCCCATCCAATAAGGTGTTTAGAATGGAAATATATCTACTGCAAAATTTTATTTTGAAGTTCTTCAGGTGTTGTTCTGGCACCATAATCGTGGCTAAAACTGGAATGATGCGACATCATTCAGTACTTTTTATCACAAATCAAGGTTTCCATTATCACAAAGTTGAATGGGTTTTCAACAAAAATTGTGATAACGGATCCGAAGCGTGATTTAGGAGCAAAAAATTCTCATCCGCTAATATGACCGAGTGATAAGGCGCAGGCATTCCCAGGAATTTCATTGGATGTAATCTGACAGGATATCAAACGTTACGTATACGAAGCGGAGGTGGTGAGAGATGATGTGAAAACCAAGATGCAGTCATAAAAACCAGGCGAACAAGTGCACAGTTAACTCGCGGCAGCGTGCGTGGAAAATGCTCGCACTCGTTTTAGTGTTTGTTTCGTTCATTCTGTTTTGGTTAAAGTTATCGGTGACTAAGCCGAGGAATTTTCCTCCAGGTGAGCGCATTGTTTTTTTTTTCATTCAGTACTTTTTATCACAAATCAAGGTTTCCATTATCACAAAGTTGAATGGGTTTTCAACAAAAATTGTGATAACGGATCCGAAGCGTGATTTAGGAGCAAAAAATTCTCATCCGCTAATATGAACCGAGTGATAAGGCGCAGGCATTCCCAGGAATTTCATTGGATGTAATCTGACAGGATATCAAACGTTACGTATACGAAGCGGAGGTGGTGAGAGATGATGTGAAAACCAAGATGCAGTCATAAAAACCAGGCGAACAAGTGCACAGTTAACTCGCGGCAGCGTGCGTGGAAAATGCTCGCACTCGTTTTAGTGTTTGTTTCGTTCATTCTGTTTTGGTTAAAGTTATCGGTGACTAAGCCGAGGAATTTTCCTCCAGGTGAGCGCATTGTTTTTTTTTTAACGAAATTAGACGTTTTCGCCTCAGGCCCGAAATGGTTGCCGATGGTCGGCTCGCTTCCGTTCCTGAAGAGGTTGTCGATCAAGTTGGGCAGCCAGCATCGCGCCCTAACGGAAATGTCGAAGCAGTTCAAGACCAACGTTCTCGGGTTGAAGCTCGGTGGCGAGATCATGATTAGCGTTGAGGATTACGAGACGATCAGGGAGGTCCTCACCTGTGAGCAGTACGACCAGAGGCCGAACAACTTCTTCATCCGCCTGCGGACTTTGGGCACGTGCAAGGGGATAACGTGCGCCGAGGGCAAGCTGTGGACCGAACAGCGAAGTTTCGTCGTTCGCCACCTTCGCAACATCGGCCTTGGCAAAAAGATTATGGATTTAAAAATACAAGACGAAATTGCTAATCTCTTCAAAATAATTGACGAGCGGGTCGAAGTGCAAATTGCGAAACTGTTACCGTTCGCGATTATTAACATTTTATGGTCGATGGTGGCCGGTAAGCGAATCGCGAGCGAGAACCAGCTTCTGGACATCATCAATAAGCGAACCAAGGCGTTCGACATGTCGGGCGGGGTCTTGGCTCAACAGCCCTGGCTGCGCTACATAATCCCGGAGAGGAGCGGGTACAATCTAATCAAAAAACTGAACAAAGAGCTCAAGGCGTTTCTAATGGAAACGATTAATGAGCACCACGAGACATGGACCGAGGATAACCAGGAGGACTTCATTTACTCCTTCATTACGGAGATGAAGAAGATGAACGACCCCCAGTCGAGCTTTACAGGTACTTTGCTCGGACCGCTTCTGGTTTTTTCATCGTTTTTTTTTAGATGAGCAGCTTTTGATCGTCTGCCTTGATTTATTCGTCGGAGGATTCACGACTACCAGCAGTACTTTGGACTTCTTCTTTCTGATGATGGTTTTGTACCCCGACGTGCAGGCGAAGATTCAGGCGAACCTCGACGAGACCTTCGACGATAATTACCAGATCGAGTTCACCGATCGCCACCGGTTGCCCTACATCGATGCTGTAATCAAAGAGGTGCAGCGATACCGGACGATACTTCCGGTGATAGGGCCGAGAAGGTCGACCAAGGAGATGAATTTGTCGGGGTATACCATACCGAAGGTGAGTCGAGTGGGGTTTTGAGTGAAGGTACTAGGGCCGCTTGCAGGATACGACCATACTAATCAACCTGGCACCGACGTATATGAGCAAGGAGATATGGGGCGACCCGGAGAATTTTAGGCCGGAGAGGTTTTTGGATGAGAGCGGGGAGCTGGTCTCGCATCCTCAGTTTTTGCCTTTTGGGCTCGGTATGATCGGGGTTGTTTCTGGCCGGACTTGGAGTAACTTTTGCTTTTTAGGGAAAAGGAAATGTCTGGGTGACGCTTTCGCCCGAGGTTGCCTATTTATATTCACCACAGAATTTTTGAGACGGTACGAGATAAGGCCGGTGGACGAGAAGAATTTGCCCTCCGCTGAGCCGTTACCGGGACTAGTTGCCTCACCCAGACCGTATTTTGCCAAATTTACCAGAAGGCGCCAATAGATTCCTAAGTTACAATGGCAGTGTTATTTTAAGTTTGCATATTTTATTTATTTATCTTGAAGGAAAACATTACATAAGCGTGCCCTTGTTTGACCGGATTGTTTTTATACAAACACGCGTCACCGCTGTTCTTAACCTTGTACCGTAAATCTAAAGAGCTGGCAACTTGTTTATAATGGCGTAGGTCAGTTCATGACCACTAATCCCAGCTCTCAGTCTTGGTCTTGCAACCAACCTGCTTGCACGCTTGCTCAACGTGGAGATTAGCGAATTATTTCTGGGCGGAGGATTAATTACAGCAATTAATTCCCTTATCGGCACGATAAACGAAGCATCTGGTCACCACAAGTTCATCTGACCGTGGATACCTTATCAACTACAAGTTCGCGGTTCAAGTCAGACCGAACGACGACCTCTCCAATCTCAACTGAAGTACCTGGCGATAAGCCGCGTAGCCCACTTCAAACGATAGACGGAATTTCCAATTCACTATTCAAAAACCACAAAACAAGTTGATAAAATGACAAGATCGAAAGGTTATCCCCTTCACCTTCGCCTAGCACCGTTTTACTCACATCCATTTCTTCTTTGGAAGGCCACTCTAACGTAGAAAAAAGGACGACCCCCAAAATCTTGGTGGTGGATTTGCTCCCAAAACAGATCGATGGTACAGTTCTATTGTTCCATTAAATTTCTCCTAAGGGCCCTTAAGAGATATGAAAGAGTTCCTTCCTCTATCAGTTTCTTTAAGTAGAGGACAGGTGTGAAGTGAGTGCCTCTTTCAAATTTCATGTTCAAGAGTTTGATGCGCCTGGTGGTATAGTATCACCGATAAGGGTCAATTTTCGATTACTAACTGGTAACCTTCGTGTCCATGAAGGCTTTTCTGTGCTTCTTGCGCCTAAACCACCCTCGCGTCGTGTTATAGGCCTGAACCAGTTTGCAGAAGCTCACCCACCTTCAAATGATTTTAATTTAAGATAAGCATGTTCACAGACATCTGCCCTCACTGGATATTCTAGGCGTCTTCAAGTGTTTGAAGGCCATTAGAGCGCAGTCCATCCTTTCCTGTGTGGAGACTCCTGAGGCTTCGCGATGAACTGTGGCCTTCTGCCTCTATCTGTTGAAAAGAAGCCATTACTTCTCGGGAGCCTGGAAAGTGAGTGAGTGTGATGTGTATTTCCTAGCGGGATTCTTAAGAGTCCCAATGCCATTGGAGCGGATCTTTTCTAATTGCGATGCTGTTGGTATCGATTCCTTCACAGAACTTGCGCCAGGTCGTTCTTTTGGACTTCTCGCGGAATTGTACTCGGCTAGGAGGCTTCTGTATGTTTTTTCCAGTTGCTTCCAGTAGGTTGATGTTCTTGCGCTTACAGTATTCCACCACAGCCTTTACGTCTCCTGTGGGTATCCCCGTCGGGTCCCCATGAAAGTAAGCCGAGGTCACTTTGTCTCCTTTCCTACCCCCGAAGGTTACTGTGGGGATTTCTATTGCAACCGGGTCCCTAGGATAAATTCAGTTAATGGTATGAAGCTTACTTGGGATGCATGGAACACTGCCGTCCTCGGTTCTCCGCCTTCCTTCCTGTGGACTAACTTACCATTGTTTGTGGCTAGTCTCGCCGCAATCATCATTGCCGCCATGAGACCACCCGTACACTCATATAGGTAAACAATTGATAATGCTGGAGGGTATTCCATACTCTCCTACTCCCGGTGCTACGTTAGATGGCATCTTAACAAAAACTACAACGTGAGTGGTGAGGCGGGGGAGAATTTGACACCGGTGGTCTGGGGAGTATTGGGATACTGGGGAGTAAAGGAAAATTCAATTACTGTTTCTTTCCAATGATGATTACCAATATGACACCATCCGTTTTGGTAGCAATGGTAGCAGGGGGGATCTGGGGGGTATGGAATACCCCCCAGCACAGGAGTTATACATTGTCTACCTAAAAGAACTGCCATGATAGCTGGTTTCGGGATAGTTTCAGTAAGTTTCCTGGGAGGTATTCCATACCCTCCAGACCCCACCCCCCTGTATTACGCTTTCACCCAAAATGTTTCTGTAAATATTTTCTCATCGCTTTCGTACCGAGAGTTTAAAGGGTGATAGTTTTGGTGGGGTTCTGGAACCACCGCCGGGAGGTCCTGGGATGGGAGGTATGGAATACCCTTAGCATTGGAGGAATAGACTACCTACCTAAAAAAACTACTATGGCAGCTTCTGCTTTCGGGAAAGTTTTATCAAAGTTCCTGGGGGGTTTACCCCAGACCCTCCGGAGTTACATTCTCCCCCAAAACCGTCTTCCTCCTCACTCTCGTTACAGTTATTTAATGTTTCCCTTAAGTTCCAGCAGCCTTTAGCAGCCGTCTAGACATCGTTTTAAAGCCTTTGATGCCTTGAGCTTAGTTTTTAACTGCTTCTAAGCCTTTAAACGCTTTATGGTTGATTAGGATTCTTAAAAGCTATTAATTTGGGTGCGTAGAATCCAAATCAATTCGTACTTTTTCGATCAGACTTCTCAATCAAAAGTTATAGACTAGAAACCAATTTCGAAAAAAATTCAAAAGGCTGTAACTTTTGAACTAGTAGCCCAATCTTGGAACTGTTTGAAATTATGGATTCTACAGGCCACATTCTATAACAAAATTTTTTTCCGGGTCGATCTGAGACAATTTTTTTTTCGGGGCTCAAAAAAAGGCAGTGTATAACCTTCCTTTTTTACCAAAAATTGACTACACCAAAATTTCTCGGGAAAACACTTTTTCTTATTAATTTTGGTGCGTAGAATCCAAAACAATTCGTACTTTTTCGATTGGACTTGTCAATCAAAAGATATACACTAGAAACCAATTCCGAAAAAAATTCAAAGGGCTGTAACTTTTGAACTAGTAGCCCAATCTTGGAACTGTTTGAAATTATGGATTCTACAGGCCACATTCTATAAGAAAATTTTTTTCCCGGGTCGATCTGAGCCAATTTTTTTTTCGGGCCTCAAAAAAAGGCAGTGTATAACCTTCCTTTTTTACCAAAAATCGACTACACCAAAATTTCTCGGGAAAACACTTTTCTTATTAATTTTGGTGCTTAGAATCCAAAACAATTCGTACTTTTTCGATCAGACTTCTCAATCAAAAGTTATAGACTAGAAACCAATTTCGAAAAAAAATTCAAAGGGTTGTAACTTTTGAACTAGTAGCCCAATCTTGGAACTGTTTGAAATTATGGATTCTACAGGCCACATTCTATAAGAAAATTTTTTTCCGGGTCGATCTGAGACAATTTTTTTCGGGGCTCAAAAAAAGGCAGTGTATAACCTTCCTTTTTTACCAAAAATCGACTACACCAAAATTTCTCGGGAAAACACTTTTTCTTATTAATTTGGGTGCATAGAATCCAAATCAATTCGTACTTTTTCGATCAGACTTCTCAATCAAAAGTTATAGACTAGAAACCAATTTCGAAAAAAAATTCAAAGGGCTGTAACTTTGGAACTAGTAGCCCAATCTTGGAACTGTTTGAAATTATGGATTCTACAGGCCACATTCTATAAGAAAATTTTTTTTCAGGGTCGATCTGAGACAATTTTTTTTTCGGGGCTCAAAAAAAGGCAGTGTATAACCTTCCTTTTTTATCAAAAATCGACTACACCAAAATTTCTCGGGAAAACACTTTTTCTTATTAAAACCATTTAGAGCGTCTAGGATTTCTCTGTGATCCCATAAAGAGTCTTTCACTCTCCTCTTGCTCTAGAGCCCTTGAAAGTACCGCTAAGGTTCTTCAAGAGTTTTGAAGGGATTTCCATTAGCGTTTCCTAGCGTTTAAGATCTTTCAAAGCCCTTCGAAATTTTTATAACATCTTCGATTGCCTTTAAGAGGCTTCAAGGATTTTTCAGAACCTTAAGTCTCATGGATTATTTAAATCCACTTTATCTTTGAAAGCTTTCAAGATTTTTCAACAAACCTCTTAAGCTATCTAGAGTCATCAAACGATGTGGGCGGTTAAGAGCAATTAAGAGCGTTCTTAGATCTTTAAAACCAAAAAACTTTAAGAGAATTCAAACAACCCTTTAGAGCCTTAGTTTACCCTTCAAAACCTCTAATAGTCATCTTAGAGCATTTTAGTATCGGGAAGAGTTTTTAACGCCCCTTGACAGTGATTAAGAGTAGCTACTTAATATCCTAATATTGAGACGTCTTTGAGACCCTTTACCAATTTTAGTGCACTTAAGGATCTTAAAGCGCCTTTTAGAGTCGCCAACGATTTTAAAATGTTCAAAGCCTAAGAATTTTTAAGAGCATTTAAGGGTGTTTTAGAAGTCGTTGGAACCTTTAGTTGGCTTTTGCCATTTGGGGTATCGAAAATCCCTAAAAACTCATAAAAATGCTTTATACAGTGGAACAGTGCAAATGTCTCTTCCAACTTATGTTCTCCTAATAGTAAGTATATTTAAAGTTACTGCTTCGCTAATACTGACGACGCCATTTTAAAATTATTGTATCAACGCAACAGGTTTTGCGTAGGAATCTGCATTTTGACAGGGTCCTAATACCAATTTCTCTTCTAGCGCCAGGATCACAAGGAATGCTCTTTGACGTATCGGTATGATTGCAACAGGATCGCAAAGGAAGAAAGAGAGATTATTGACAGAGACAGAAACGTTCTGATATATTTCGTTCTAATATAAAAGACATTCTGGTATCAAGATCACAAACGAGAAAGGATAAAGTGAAAAGTAGGTATACACTGATTATCAGGATTCCAGAAACATAAGAAGGTGTATCATTATCCAGGTCCTGAGGATCGATCAGGCAGACACCGTGTATACTAATTGCTCTCCTGATTTTTTTTTGTTTTATCAAGGTCGCGTCCCATCTCCTCGCTTCGAGTCACAAAACGGCGGCTAAGTCTGGTGCCCAAAAAATATTTTCGCTAAACTGACGGCTGGCTTTGGTTTTGGTACATTTCCTGATTTTTTATCGTTATCTGGAATATGAGTAAGTTACGTTGTAATTTCCCGTAATCGTGGAATAAATTAGCGTTAAGTAGTTCTGAAAAACGCTCGGGTATTTTCTTATTTTCACTCTG